AAAAAAAATAAAAAAGATCAACTTACAAATAGAGTATAGGCAAATATGTGCTTGATTTTATCTTACAATCTAGGTAACATATTAAAGATGTAATAAATTCATTTTCCTTTTCAAATGAAAAGCAACAGCAATAGTCAGAAATAACAATGATCAAATGAAATAATTTATATGAATCCTTATCTTCTGCAAGGGCTAGGAACTGGCCAAGTGCTCAAAAGGAAGTTCAATGTGCTATTAATTCTGTGAAAAACAGCATTCAGTTCCACACTGCTAAACATAGTTCAGTTTCTGCCACATAAAACCTTTACTACTCATCACTGACCAAATGCTTTGCTAAAACTCTGCTTCTGGCCTGTGTTTTGGGACCTGTTACTTTTATTGCCACCTCCTGATCTCTGTCCCCTGAAGTTTCTGTTTCCTCCCCGCTGTCCTCTGAAGCCTCTGCTTCCATCTCGCTGTCCCCTGAAACCACGGCCACCTTCCCGACCCCTGGAGCCTCGAAATTCTTCCCGTGGTCCTTCCAGCTCTGGCTGCTCTGTGGCCACAGCAAGCTGCCAGCGTCTCGAGTCATGCCATTTCTCCTGTATTTCTGTAACTGCAGCAGTACGGACATCAAAACAAACACCCAGCTTCCCTTTGAGAAAGACCATTCCCTTCACTTTGGAATCAATATCTTCACCCAGTTGCTCCTTAAGTTCTTTCCAAGCATAACTAATGTTAGGCATTTCAATTGAGCACCTTAAGATCATAGTCACAAAACATGCCTCTGAGTTGATCAAAGAGCGCTGGTCTACAGACGTAGCTCCTGAAATGTGTGCCAGTGCTGCAGCCAGGGCCTCTACAGCTCCCTTCTCCTCTATCAGCTTCTCAGCTGACTGTTTGAAGTGGCCAATGGCAGTCGGAGGCACGGAATCCAAAAGCCTGATGGCATCTTTGCTAGAAGCTTTTATTATTTCTGTTGGAGAAGGGACTCCTATTCGTTTAAATTTAATTCCCACTTTCTGCTCCACTGGTGCTAACTGATACTCTTCCTTGTGCTGATAGAAGCAGATGCAAACCCCTGTCCTTCTGGCTCAGCCTGTCCACCCAGAACGATGAATGTAGGACTCTACATCCTTTGGTGGACAGCTTTGTACAACCAAATCAACCTCAGGGATATCTAATCCACGTGCAGCAACATTGGTTGCCACCATAACTCCAAAATCACCATTTCTAAAACCTTTCAGGGTGATCTCTCTTTGTTTCTGTGGAATGTCACCGTGTAATGACTGAGCATCCTGCTTTATGGATGCATTCTGTGATAATTCCTGGGCTTCTTTCTTGGTCTCACAGAAGACAATAGTGCGCCCTTGATGGCCACTGTATACATGGATCACGTCTCCAATAACTGCTGCCCTCTGAGTCCAGTGGCACTTGATAGCCAGATGCTCCACAGTTATTGCTGTTTTCTGAGTCTTTTTACCAATTAGGTCCACCTGTTCATATGTAGATTTCATGTATTTCTTAGCAACATTAAATACCCAACTTGGGCAAGTTGCAGAAAAAAGCAAAGTTTGAGGATTGTCTTCAGAATCTTTCTTGTAAGCCACACAAAGAATCTCTTCCACTTGATCAGCAAAACCCATATCCAGCATCTGGTCAACTTCATCTAGGACAACATGCTTCAGTTTAGAGAGATCCAGTTTGCCATTCTGTAAGTGGTCTTTGATATGACCAGGAGTCCCAACCAGGATATCAATACCATTGCGCATTCGTTCAATTTGACCTCCATATGGTGTTCCACCATAAAAACAAGCTACTGCCAGCTTTCTCGTGATGTCACTGAAGTCTCTGCTTACTTGATTGGCCAACTCCCTTGTAGGTGCAAGAACAAGTACCTGCGGGGCACGGCCTTTCTTCCTGTCTTGCAGCTGTCCCTGAAGTTTCTCTATCAAAGGGATGGCAAAGGAGAAAATCTTCCCCGTGCCTGTCCATGTTTTAGAAGAAATATTTTCTTCCTTTCCTTCTGGTGACTCCTCAGTCTTGTGGGATTTTGGCTTTTCTTTTCTACCTTTCTTCTCCTTTCCTTTCTTTTCCATGGCCGCGTCTGATTCCAAACCCTCGATAGTGCGAAGTTTTCCCGGCATCACTTAGCACACCCTGCTCAGGCCGACTGGTCTCTTCAACTGCGTGGAAAGGAAGAGCGAGACAGGGTTTTTCTATGAGATCTCAGTTGGCATGGAACTTGTTATGTAGCCTTAGTTGGCCTTGGCCTTACGACACTCATGCCTCAGTCTGTCATGTTCTGGGGTTCCAGGCATGTGCCACCATACCCAACTTGGAGGGCTTTTTACAAATGCATATCCTAGAGCCTCTTCCCAGACTTACCGAACAGATTCTATTCTGTAGGAATCTGTGTTTTTTAGAATGCTGCCTAGATGATTTGGATGTGGTCAACTCAGAACAGATCTGGAGAATAGCATTTAGACCATTTAGGTCAGAAGACTTTTAAGTTTTTTTTTCCCCCGGTACTGGAGATCGAACTCAAACTCAGGACAGTGTGCTTGCCAGGTAGGCACTTAAGCCACTGAGCTATCTCTCTGGCCCCAGAAAACTTTTAAAGTTCCCACTAACAGTGGTGCTTGGTGATCTAATGATGCCTTATACCTGCAAACGGGGGAGAGTACTAGAAACTAGATGGGATTACTGCTTGCATTGTAGAGAATAGAGGAAGCCAAGGATATCTGCACAATTAGGTGTAACAGGACAAAAAGCCCATGTGCTTTCACTGTGTTTATAAACTTTTCAGCAATGTTGATGCAAATGAGGCAAGTTAGTGTATTCTTTTCTCAGAACAAATGGCTTAACAGGCCAAGGGGCTTACAGTGTTCACCTCTGACACTTGCGGCTTCCCTCTGCCAGAGACTGTCACCAGAGTGGGGAGTTTCAGACTTGCCCTAGGCAGATAGATCACCAGGGAATCTTGGAGAAAAAGAGATTCAGAGTCCATGGGCTGGGGGACAACTCATGGTAAGCATTTCTAACAAAGCTCTTCCCAGTTTACCACTAGACATTGAAGAAGCGTCTCTTTCATCAAAGACTAAAGCTCTCCTGGTCTTCCAAAGATGCTTCACATTCTTCAACCATATCAACATTTTGTGTTGACATCACTGCAAATTAATTTATATCCAGAAGAAGAGGGGAAAGATGGCATTAGGGGGATTTGGTGGAGCAAAAAGGACATGAAAGTCAGCAAAAAGCTCATGGAGCTGAGGATGGTGACATCTTAAAAGTAAGAACTCCATTTCTGTACCTAGGCCAGGATAGAAGCCCTCACTGTCCCATAAAAAGACCAGAATTCTACCTCTGAGTGGATTTCTCTTTTTGGTTTATTGTTTTTTGTTTGAAAAAAATGTTAATCTTTTTATCATTCACCTAATCTTTCCAAGATTGTTTTCTTATGGCAAAACGCTAACTAGCATTTTCATATGCTTGATAATATATTTTTTGTTGATGTAAAATTTACTTAACATAAAATTAACCCTTTTAAAGTGAAAAATACTGTGACATTTGCTACTTTCACAATGTTAGGTAAACAACATCTCTATCTAGTTTCAAAACGTTTCTGTTACCTCAAAGGAAGGCTCTGTACTGTAAGCAGTCACTGGCAGCCACCAATTGCTTCCTGTCCCCTGGATTGACCTAGTCTGGGTATTTCTTATGGGTAGAGTCATATGCTATGTGCCTTTGTGTGTCTAGCTTCTTTCACTCACTATAATGTTATCTGGGCTCACTCATGTTGTAAAATATTTCAGTACAGTTGAAGAATGCTCCAGGGAATGGATAGGACATGCCTAGTTTTGTCCTTTGATCCATGGAGAACGCTTTAGTTTGTTTCCATCTTTTGTCTATTATAAATAGTGCTGGTATAAATGTTGTGTGCAATATTTCTTTGTATAATTGTTTTCGTAATTCATTGTTTTCAAATGGGATTGAGAAGAGGAAGTATTGTACTGGTAAGAAGTAAGTTCAGAGTGACTTGTCCTAGGCTTCAAAACAACCTGGAAACTCAAAACTTCTAGGAAGCCCAAGGCCCCATCTCAGCTGTCTTGAGAGTCAAAAGAGAGAATGTGTGACAAAATGATTGGCAGCTGAGGTTGGGCACCATGGGACATCCCTGTAACCCCAACACTCTGGGAGACTGAGGCAGGAGAATCACAACTTCAAGCCTAGTCTGGGCAACTGACTTAGTGAGATCTTATCTCAAAGAATAAGTAAATAGATGCATGAACAAATAAATAGAAAGGCTGGGGAATATAGCTCAAGTAGAAGGTCTTGGGTTTAGTTTCCAGGGTTGAAAAAAGTAATCAAGAAAGGAAGAAGAAAATGATTAGCAGGTGTACAGCCCTGTGTATGTGCCGAGGAATTGACAGTAAGTACTTGATGCGCCCGCTGACGTCGCTGGATCTGGTTCCCACGTGGGAGGTCAGCACTCACTGTCTCTATTATGGCCAGAAGAGAGATTTTAGAATTGCAAAAGGTGTAACAGAGTGGTTGGACAACAGCAAAGGAGTTTGACAAGGCTGTCACATCTGCTCAATATTTCTACTGAAATAATCCCGGGGATTGCTGCTGATGGTTACCATAGTGGTATTGAGGTTGGCAGAAGGAGATGATGTAATCTTGAGCATACTGATGACATCCTGGCTGCTGAGTCAGTGGTTCCTGCCCAGGAGACTTGGGCCTCCGGCTGGGGTGACTTAGATGCTGATAGGGGCAGCTTTGCAGCAGAGTGGTTTAGCAGCAAAGCAAACTGGAAATGAATAAGAACAGGGAAGGATTATGCTGCCCATTGTTCAAGGCAGGCAGTGAGAACCATGGCCCTCTGCCTATCAGAAACCAGCAAAGGCTTAGACTGCAGGCATGCAGGGGACCCCAGAGCAGAAGAGCGGTCTCCAGGGAGCATCTAGTGCTCCACCATCAGGACCCTTGCTTGGTTCTGATTGAGTCCCAGAATTTGATTAATATGAAATAGCTGTTCCCAGAGCCTCAATTTCCAGACAATTACTGAAAGAGGTAATGAAGAGCAACACAGACACTGTCTGCTCTCAAGCTGAGGAAACCCGGTGTCTTAGGGAGAAAAGAAAGATCTCAGTGGGAGAAAAGCATCATGTGTTCCCAGAAGCCCAGAATGTTTCCTGCTGAAATAACTCAGTCTGTGGGTCTGGATTTTCTGATGAGTAAATCTTGAAGAACAAGACTGATGCTCATCAGGATAAACTTGTGCATGTGAGTCTCTGAAAGGGTTTATGGAAAGCATGCTTTGGAAGCGTTAAACAGTTTGTGAGGGTTCTTGGCATCTTTGAAAATCAAAATAGATCTTTTTTAAATGTTTAAATGTTCTCATTGTGGAAAGTTTACTGAATGATGGAGAGATAAGAGAAAATTATGCATATTTTCACAATTAAGCAGTTATATTTGTCTTTTTCTTC